TACGGTGTACAGGACGCAAGCAGATTTTGACATCAGATTTTGGGGTAAACAAGTGCGTCTTATACACCGAAAAATACGGTAGATACTTTTTATAAACATACGTATTGTTATTTCCCTAGCTTTTAAAAAAAACTTGTGCGTATGCGTGCAATATCTTTGTGCCATGTCTGCAAACTAATACGTTTAATGTATATATTAGGATGAATAAACATAAAAGTTTTAGATTCGTATAGGTTATATACAATTAATTAGTTGTCATTGTATTTCATTTTGTTTCCTCAGTATGTGCGTGTCTCCCCAGAATTTTTTTCCCCCTTTTGTACAATATACTAAGTTTATTTTATGCGGGATATTTGGAATAGTCCGGTTATATCTGACTTTCTAGAAGAAAGTGAACACTGAGGTCAACATTCTCCTGAGTAGTTTATAAAACATCATATAGACTCAACAAAATGCGTTGTCAGCAAAAATGCGTAAATAAATGTTCTCAATATTCATTTCTCTCTTTCAGTGCCACGTTTAGAGAAAAAAACAAACTATTCCAGTCCCAGGTTCATTTTTAGAATCACAATATAAAACATTTTAATACTTCGTTACCTATCTGAAAATTTGAAGGAGAACGTCCTTTCTTGATGGTGGTAGAAAATTCCAAACTTCCACGTAGTGAATTAATATCACACATTTCAAGACTAAAACAAAGTGTACGTAGTTTGTCCCATGGTAGTGAAATAGTTAACATACATACATATATATATATTATTATTAATTTTTTTGGTATTGACCAACTTTTTTGACTATGTGGCTTCCCTAATACAAGTGGCTTGTACATTTTGTGTCAACGAAAGGCTTCTAGAAAACCTTTAGAATATTTTGAAGAAAAACATTCCTGTTTTATTTGAATGTTAAAATTACAACAGATATATATAAGAATATCTTGAAATTCTTACATGATGAGCTTTTTCCCCGTGTTTCTTGTCGTTTAATTAAGCCATCTTATCTCGTCATAACGAATATATATATATATTCCTTTTTAACTGACGTCTAAAATTGTTTTGGGGCAAGTAACATGTTTGATGAAATGGCACAAAAATTTCGATTTTGGGCATACATTAGAAGAATCTATGTAAACTATCGCCCTAGGAAACGTTTATGTACATTCTTATTTACATACCACACATGTATGCAGACAGAGCCGGAAAAGGCTGTGAACGAAACACAAAAACTTTAACGTGTTCATGCGGAAGCTTACATCCTATGTTGCAGTAGACATCTGGCGCCAAACTTTCGATAGGCTTTCTGAGGGCGTGTAAAACGTGAAGAATATTACTTAGTTATAAGTGGAAAAACCTGCGTACAAATGAAATGCGTTTGGGATGAAATATGTGTTGAGTCCGTTTTACTCTTGCTAATCCTGTATTATGGTTTTTGATAGTTTGCGGTCTGTTTGTACATTAGCCTTATCTAAAGTTGGTTGTTGAAGGACAGACACACAAACGAAGCAGTTGTTCTACCTCGTCACGTTGACAAGATGAAACAAAAAGTGCGATTAGGTTTTTGGCGCGTATATTTACATTTAGTAAAACATCTGTCTTGCTCATTGATGTTCTGTTGCTAATCTTTTATATATTTCTCGTAACTTTTATCCCCAGGTGTGAAACGTTGCAGAAGTATTATTTGTAGAGAAACTGCGTTGCTAGTTCATAAATTACTTAATACTGGAATATTGTTTTAAAATAATTAGAATGATTTCAAATAATTTGCTTATTACAGATGTAAATAATAATAATAATGCGGACTGTTTAAAGTGATTTTTACCACAAATATCAGGCCGACTGGGTTTCTCACTTGTTTCGACGTCAAAACTTTAACGATTCCGAAGTTAAGATCTGAAAAAAATGTTTGCACCATTTTAATCTTCTGTTGGTAGCCTAAATTTTTTATTCATTGTTTCATGGCCTTCAAAAGTTAAATGCGAACAATAGAACGTAACACAACAACCTTTTTGTGCGTGTATGTCGGATTGAGCGACTATAACGGTTGTGTCAGTTTGTACCCATTTGTATCGCTTTCGTCACGCATTTGCACTAGTGGTATATATTGTATAACATAAATAGTTCCTCGTTTTGTCATGATTGCAGTTTTTCAGCATAGGATATTGCAACGAGCGAAAAGAAAAGGCGTTGTTACATTTCAGAACGTGAAACAAACGCATTGTAATGATTTATCGTTGTTATTGTAGAATTCACTGATTATTTGACAGCCATTACAACTACTTAATAAATGTTGATTGCATTGAATAAGTTGTTAGAAATTACTTATTGTTGAATAAAGTAAGGAAAGTCGGTGAAATAAAAAATATTCCAGGAAGCGTTAGAAACTCGGAACACCGTCATAAATGAACTGAGAGCAAGAGTTTCACACTTTCTGCGCTAAAGCACCAATCATGAGCGTGTCCTTTTCACAGACCAGCTGCTACACTTCAGTTTAGGACCAACACCTTCCAGTTTAGCAGCATAAGGATGACTGGAATATGTGCAGAAATGTGATTCGTTGACAGTAATAGTTTCATGTTCATATGAATTAAATGTAATTAGTTTTTTCTTGACTAAACAAAATAGTATTAACACATACATTAACTTCTTTTCAAAGTGAATGATTTTGAAACTGTTAGCCACTGGGGATAAACAATAATGATTTTTTTTTAATTAAACATTTTTTGTAGTCATACAGAAACTTTGATTAGATCATGTGACAATAAGCACTAAAGTTGTGTGATATATCACCTGGACCATAACAAGTTTCAAATTCATAAATAAGTTGAAACCTAACTAAGTGATTGATGATATATTAGCAACATAATAAAAAAATAGTTATAGAAAGAGAGAAATTATTTACATGAATAGTGAACTTTATGCATTTATGTCACTATGGATTATGCAATTTAAAAATAAAAGTAGCATAACAGTCTTATTAAAAGGTATTACACAACATGTACATTTAGACTAAAATGGTTCAGCAGCATGTATACTTCAGTAACTAATTAATACTAACTTGTACCTGGTTAATTGATGCAGTCAGATGCCTTTAGTAATGCCAATTTACTTTTAAAATTTTAAGTTTGAATATTATTATTTGCTAAATTATATTCAGTAGTTGTTAATAATTACAGAAATTATAATAATAATGAAAAAAAGTGTCCTCTCCAAAAAAAACAAAAAAACACACAAAACGACTTATTATCTTAAAAATTGTCCCAAATTCATTAACCAAGGCTTGTTCATTGAATCAGAACAGTTTGTGTTCACATAATAAGCATCAAATCGGTTTTTATGTCCAAGAAACACACAGTGCAATTTTCTGTTGTGAAAATTGGATTTTACTCTAAGAGATTTTTAATTCTCAACTGCCCTCTTTTATTACATAAAATCAGCATTCTATTCAATCAGTGCATTTGCATTCATTACTTGCAATGCAGCCAGGGTACTCTAGTGAAAACATGTTCTTTTAATCTCTTTGGTATTGAAATCATACAAAAAAATGTTGATCAAATTTTTGGTAAGTGTTTAACAATTATAGGACAGTATGATGTAGTAGTTCTAAAAAAAAAGCTTCTTTTATTAATGAACTATAATAATTGTGAAATGATGAATGTATAGAAGTTAAATAAAATTGTGTTCTGGAAAATTATATAATTTGCAGTGTTTATTACAAAACTGTTTTTTAATTTCAGTTTGATGTTTGCAGTTTTAACTAATAGGATTTACTAGTAATATTAAAATGAAAAATAATGTCTGTTTTTCAGGTATGGGCTTTATCGGGCAGCATTTAGTGGAATTTCTAATAAGAAATGATCTTGTATCAAAAGTAAGAAGAAACATTTTTTTAACCTTTTTTAATCTGGTTAGCTATATGTACCATGATGACATGCATATATTATCAAGGTTGCTTTAGTAACTATGGAATTTAAGTTATATGCAAAGGTTATACTGTATAAATGACATCAGTTACTGAGTAAATAAAAAATTTGTGACTGCATGTAAACATTATATATATTTTACAGTTATTATTCAAAAATGTTTTAGTTACTATAAAAACTAACAAAATTAGGGGAATGTTGGATTTTACTTTGAGAATATAGGTAAAATATTCAGATGTTTCTGTATCATGCATTTGGAGTGATGCATCTGTATACATAATTGTACTTTTGCAGGGAAAGGGTGATAATTTCTAATGCAGATAGATAGATATATTTGCTGACTTTTACCTCAAGTGGATCAATACCATGTTTTAAATGTAATTGTGAAAACACAATATTACAAAATGTATGCTTATAATCTTCAAAAATATACACGAACATTACTCTCTATAGGTACGTGTTGTCGACAAGGTTCCTCCTCAGATAGCATGGCTGAACAAGAGTCGTCAGGTATGGATGTTGATACAAACTGTGTGTAAAGTCTGCTTGTGTGTGATACGTAATTTGAGCAGCAACTATAAGGACTTGTTTTTTTAACTACAAAATAGTTTGAGTTACATATCAAACCTGTATGCAGTTACTAAAGTGTGAAGTTTATTAAAAGCATATAGGAAGTAATTATTTTGTGTTTTTCAGAGAAAGAACCATTAACAATTCTCTAGGTTTATATATTTTCCTGTGATTTTGTTTTTCATCTTAAACAAATTTAGATATGACATTTTAATTTTTACTTAAAACTGAAAAGGCTTCTCTATTAATATATTGTATTACTCTCTTAAATTTGTTTTCATGTTAGATTTAATTTATTATTTTGTATGTATTAATATATTATTTTGTATGTATTAATGACAATGAATATAATTCAAATGAAGAAAAACTTGGAAAATCATGTGGTTCATAACAACATTTTGACATCAACTGTTATTGTTTATCCCCATTTAGCTTTTCCTCACCAATACTGCTAGTTAAATCTTAACGACTTGGATTTGTATCTGTAATGTGTTCAATTTCATTAATGCAGTTATCTTATCAATATGAAGTTGTGTGAAAAGAGCACTTTTACAAATGTGTTATGGCATACTCATTTCTAAGGATTGGTTTTATCAATTCAAAGGTAAATGGAAAGGGAACTTATAAGACATTCCCATTTTTGATGTTGGAGAGATCAAATTTACATGAAAGAAATCAAAAATGAAACTTCTGCCAAAGAGACAAGTCTCAAGGCATACAAACATTTGGCAGTCCTGCATAAAACATTTTTGTCAGTCTTCAAAACGTGTCCTGTACAGCACTTTATCTAGTGATCGTCCTTGGTTAAACTATAGACTTCTGACTTAAGATTAAGTAGTGGTTTTTGCTGATTTATCATTTTGATGTCGGTCAGATTTTGGAATTCCCTCCATGAGTAAAAGGAGTCAGTTTTAGTTCATTTCTCTTTCTAAAGTCTGTCAAATTTAGTTGGTGCTGTGGATACATCTGATGATGGTTCAGCAGGCATCTCTGCATTTTAAATTTCTGTTTGCATGCTACAATATATATATATATATATATATATCCTGTTAAAATATTTCATGCCAGTGTTTGGGATAAATGTCGTCGGTCTTAAGTTCTGGTTTTTCTACTACTAGTACAACTAAATCTCAGTCATCTGGTACAGTATTAAAACTTTCACATGAATGGAAACACATCTCCCACTGAGCATCATTAATGTTAAAAGTTGGCTCAACCTTCACACATTTGTTAAGCTGCTGCTGCTTTTTTCATTTTCTTCCTGTACTTCTTCAGAGTACTGTTTGCCATTTTTTAAGTATTTATTGCTGTATCCATAATAGTTGGGAATAATACTTATGGTTAGAATTTAATCAGTTTCTTTCTCGTCAATTCTCTTCTGAACCACTATAAAATGCTTTCCACAAATTATTGTATTAAGTGTTGGAAGTAACTTTTTTTCTTCCATGCAAATTTTGTTCTGTGGTTTCAATCTAGACTTCTTGGTGTAAAACAGCTTGGTTGGGAATTTAATGTAAAGCAAACCCTTTCAGCCAATTGTTTTCCAGTTGTTAGAAGCAACAATGCAGCAATAACCCTTTCCATCAACCTTTTTCTCTATTTGATATTTAGCTAAAGGGTTTAACCAATAAATGTACTACTTTGAAATCACAATGATAGTCAATAAATAAAAAGAGCTTTGCACACCTGTAACTGCACACTACATCAATAAATACAATTTATAAAATCTTGCTTACTGCTGCTATCTCACATCATAGAGAGAACTGAACTCAGATATGCACAACTTATCCTGAATAAGTGTTATAGTGACATTACATTGGGGCCAAATATGGTGAACTTATGACTTAGTTTTCTGATTTCTGCTCACATTTGTGAAAAAAGTAAGTATAATTTCTACACTGAAATTATAAATTTTTGCTTATTTGGTGTATAATGGCAAATCTAGAAAATCCTAAGCTTGTGTATACTGAAAGGTTTTTGGACAGGTAAGAATGAAGTGTTGAGAATTACTAGGACAGGTTAACCCTATTGCCATGGATACCTTTTACTGCACATGGCACAAGGTTTTAGTGTCTTACATTCAAAGTTTTATTAAACTCCTTTTTGTTTATGTTATACCAATTAGAATAGCATAAAATCTTAGCTAATAATCCATATTTTAATAGTATATAAGTTTTAAGTTCTTAATTATACAAGGCAATATTAAGAAAAAACCTGAATTTCCCCTAGTGTGACTCATTTCACACATTTTCTGTTAGCATGTCATCTTCCCTATTTTATCCATCACCCCTCGAAAAAGTACGAAATTAAATGCAAGTTACTCTATAAAATCGTCATTGCTCAAACAAACAATAATTTTTAGTCTTCAATTTTATTTGGTTACAGAACTATCGAATAGAAAACCAGACCCCTCCTGCCACATCTACTTGTCACATCCTCTTTTTTAGAATTTGTTAACAGTTGTCTCTTACATTTAATTTTATATTACCTATAAGCAATAGAAAGTCAAATTTCATCTATCAAATGACGTATTATATAATGCTATGTTCTGAATGGTTAAATGTCAATTTCACTCAAGAGTACCAACATTGTTCCCATGAGAAAGTTAATGACTAGCTTGGATGAATTTGTAACAACTCTTGTCGCATAGTTAGAAAGCCAGAAAAATTTTGAGTGGTAAGGGAATTTGTCTACTTTTTTGCATGTTATTAGTGTATATTGTTTATTGCATTATTTAATTAAATAGAAGTTATGTGCATTAGTGTGAAAAAATTAGGGTTAACTCTCTTTGACAATCGACAGCAAGAAAAATGAAGATTGGTTAGGTATTTTATTTCTTGTTTTTTCATGTTTATTCTTTATGTATAATTATAAAAGTAACTAAAATGTAAGAATAGAGATCCTTTTAGGTTTGTTAAGATTAGATTAGGTAAAATAAATAATAATAATATTATAATAAAAACGTTTCACGAGCAGCTCGTAGTAGCTCCTGGGTAATGTAATTCATTAGCATAACATTCTCCAAGTGATTTACAACCTATAATGGCACGGATAATAGTTAGACATGGTTCAAAGGGCAATAAAATTTAATTATATATGGATGTATACTGTTATGAACTTAGAACTACTTAGGATAAATGAATGTAGATTCATGTTACAATTTGAAGTCATTCTAGAAAGAAAAAAAGGTAATTTAGATTTTATTTTTTTTTTTTTTTTGTTGTGTATATAGTGTTGTA